GAAAGAGTCTACTCAACAACGGGCCTGGAGCCTGAAGTCTCTGGGGGCTAATTTCATGTCAGATGCAGGTTTTAAGATGGAGGCTAATAACAAGAATTTAGATGCCCATGTGTTTTCTGGGTGTCTGTCTCTACAACATTCTAGACATTACGAGCTGGACAGGGGAAACATCATATTCCAAAGTCTCAGAGATTTTGAGCCAGGGTTTATATATTCCAGCCAGAAATAAAGAACTTATATAGCTAATGCATTCTTCTCATGGACTAAACAAGACATCCAGTGGGCTTGGTGACATAATGGAGCTAGCCTGCCGCCCACCCCCAGCCCTCCCCGCGGAGCCCTGGGAAGCTGAGCGTCTCATTTTGCAGATGTGAAAATAGGACTGAGCGGCTGAGTCGTTGGTAAGCTCAGCAAGTTACTATTTGGGTTGTGAAAAGAACTCACGTGTTTTCTGATTCTCATCTTTGACCTTCAGGGAGGAAAACATCTTCTCACAGAATACCTGTCCGTCTATTTTTTTTTTTTCCTCAGAAAATAGGGAAATGGACCCTCCTGAGCAGCCCACCCTGTGTGAGCCTTGAGTTTGTGTGCTTTCCTACTGCTTCTTCCTGCCTCCCACTGCCAGGGTCCTAGACACAGTTCAGTCCAGGAGGTCCCTGCTGGGTTGCCATGGTCACTCAAACCGTGTGTCCCTGGGGTCCCAGGACATCCCAGAGTCTCCTGAGGGGCCGGAGAAGGTGCACCCTTTTCAGCTACTACAAAAGATCCGTATTCTACAATTTGGAGATTGTAACTGAAGACTTACACTGCGCTTAAGTCTCTGTCCTTGAATTATAATTAAAGTCCCTGGGCGTCCTGAGAGAAATGTTCATGTTATTCTAGCCAGATGGCTTTTGATCATGACTGTTTTGTTTTGTTACACAGTATTAAAAATCTCCATGCCAAAATCATAGAGAAGGATGCCATGATTAAGGTCCTCCAGCAGCGATCCCGTAAAGACGCCGGGAAGACGGACTCCTCCAGCCTGCGGCCCGCTCGCTCTGTCCCGTCCATCGCTGCAGCCACTGGGACTCACTCCCGCCAGACCTCGCTCACCAGCAGCCAGTTAGCCGAGGAGAGGAAGGAGGAGAAGACCTGGAAGGGGAGCATAGGTGAGCCCCGCCCCTCCTCAGGCCTGCCCCTCCCCCTCCCCCGGCGAGCCCCGCCCCTCCCCAGGCGAGCCCCGCCCCCTCAGGCAAGTCCCGCCCTTCCTGAGGTGAGGCTCTGAAGAGAAGGAGCCACACAAACATTGAGAGGCACCCCGTCTGGCCAAAGGAGTTCAGACACCCTTGTGAAAGCAGAAATATTGAGTATTCCCGAGTCTCAGTTTACTCGTATGTAAAGCGGGGAAGGATAATCAATCACACTTTGGTGGTGGAAGCAAAGACCACCCCACCAGAGTCGCTGTTAACCACGGGTTGATTCACATCATAATTATCATCGTTATTGTTGAAAGTTGAGGTGACCCTTAATGTAAAATGTTCTAATGGGAAAAACTCTGAATTTGGCTCTGCCCCAGACCAGTGGTAAGACTGCTCCACCTCTGCTTCTGTGTCTCGCAGAGCGGGGCGGTGCCAGGAGGTGTCTGCCCTGCTGTACCCCATGGGGTCATGGCAAGGGCAAAATGAGATAACGGAGAGAAAGCGCTTGGGGAGCAGTGCTCTCGAGTGCAAAGTTCTGCTGGCGGTGGTTTTGCTGGATTGCTGTTACGCAGGCAGAATGTTGAGGAGAGTTCTGCAAACGTGTGGTCTCAGCCATGAACACGTTTCCTGGGGTGACGGGGGCTGGCTGGGTCTGGAGAGAAGCGGCAGAGCCGCCCGGCTGGCAGGCAGCGCTCCCTGACGCGCATCCTCTGCTCTTGTCCCCGGCAGTCCCCGGCACTGCACACCCCCAGGGGCCTGGCCCTTCTTTGATGCATTTCCCCAGCTCAGAGTGTGTTTTGTTTATCTAAGGAGCCGAGAGCCTGTTTTTCTCAAAACAGAACCCCAGAGGAGGCTGGCTGCTTCGTGCCAAAGGGGATAAGAGCTTCCAGAACGAACGTGACAGACTTGGGGTGATCAAAGGCACCCAGCCACAATCTCTGTTTGAAGTTCCCCCACGGGTTACTTCTGCAGCCCCTGCCCTCCAAGGAAATGCACTTCAAAGAGGACGTGTGTGGACAGCAGCTGGGATCTTCAAAGACCCTCCCAAGGACACTTAGCTCCCCACCCCAGTTAGAGAGCCTTGGAAGCAGCGCTCAGGCAGGCCTGGTAGGGGAGTCTGAATGTGCTCAGCTCGCATAGAAACCTCCCTGGCAGAGGCCAGTCTGTGACATCCAGCCAGGCCGGCATTCCCCTGGGGTCTGTGCCTGTACCCTTAGCATCTGATGTGTCTCAACCAGGCCTGGGAGCCAGAGGACCCGGCTGCGGGAAGAGTTGCTGTGTTCTCTGCACTGGTGTTCCTCCTCGTTATTGTGATTGGTGTCCACGTGTCACAAAAACAGAGCGGGGCCCTCTGAGGTTCCAGGCAGAGGCACACAGTCAATTCGCAAAGGTACAGTGCACAGACCCCAAAGTGTTTCCGCAGTCTCTTGCCTGAGGGGCTCTGGAAGGAGGTAGAGGTGATGACATATACCTTCCTGATGGCTCAGGGGCTCCCAGGTGAGAAGACAGGCCAGTGACTTGGTTCCACAGAACATCCTTGCCAGACGGTGGCTTTTCACCAGACAGGGCGATGAGGTGGAAAGAACACAGAGTGGACTTAAAGGCAGGCACAGCTGGGTTCCAATCCCATTTCTGCTATTTATACTTCTAACTCTGAGATACTTATTACTCAAAGCTTCCATTTCCTTTTCTGTAAGACAAAGGATAACAACAGGCCCTACCTCATATGAAATGAGATGATGTGTGTGAAGCACCTAGCCAGAGCCCCTCGCTACTCAAGGTGTGGTCCTTGGACCACGGCACCACCCTCTCCTGGGAGCTTCTTAGAGAAGCAGACTCTCAGGCCCCACCCACTGACTTGAATCTTCATCTTAACAATATATCCAAGTGATTGATATGCACATTACTTTTTTATTTTTTTTTTGCGGTAAGCGGGCCTCTCACTGCTGTGGCCTCTCCCGTCGCGGAGCACAGGCTCCGGACGCGCAGGCTCAGCGGCCATGGCTCACGGGCCCAGCCGCTCCGCGGCACCTGGGATCTTCCCGGACCGGGGCACGAACCCGTGTCCCCTGCATCGGCAGGCGGACTCTCAACCACTGCGCCACCAGGGAAGCCCTGCACATTACATTTTGAGAAGCGTTGCTGTAGACAGACTGGATTGAGTTGCATTCTGTTATGAATGGGCATCTTGAAATAGCCCTGGCAAAGAGACGTTATGAATCGCTGCCTCATTAAATAAGTGAACAGACACTCGATTGTGCTTACCGCATTTTCTACAGGCTAGTGTTCTGGAGTGCTGGCACTTTTCTGAACGTGGGCCGTATTTCACCATCATAACAGTGACTGTTCTGTCCAGCTTTGTAGGAAGACGTTGAGGAAAAGGGACACCACAGCGCATCATGCCTCCCTTTTCCCCAGCCGGCCCGCCCTCTTCCTGCCCCAGCCTCTCTGCTCTTGGGGCGGGCAGGGAGGGAGAAGAGGGCTGAGTGTTCCTTCCCAGGAGCCCAGCTGGCTTCCTACTTCTTGGAGGACATGGCTCTCCATTGCAAGGATCTCTTTGGGGAATATTGTACACAGCTCTGTGTTGCCCTGACCAGGAAGCGTGTTTGTTTTGACCCGGGGCCTGTAGGAGACCATCCGTTACCAAGAGTGGAGGGGTGTCGGGGGCTATTAGGCAGAGCAGCAGGCCAATGGGACCGTGTCTAGGAGCAGGGAAGCCTTCAGGTTTTCTGAAGCACACAGCCACTGCCCAGGACTAGCCCTCCTGGGCCATATTAGGTAAAGCGAGCATCGCCTCTAGAACACTTTGCAGGAACGCCCTCACCCCTCGACACTCTGCCTATAAGGTGCCTCTTCTGCATTCTTCCATAGCACCCTGAGAATAATAGTATCCTATCATTTGTCATGTTATATTAGAACCAATTCACCTGACAACTCCTCCCCCACCCCAGACTAGGTGTTTGTTTGTGTTTTTTTTTTCCGGTACGCGGGCCTCTCACTGTTGTGGCCTCTCCCGTTGCGGAGCACAGGCTCCGGATGCGCTGGCTCAGGGGCCACGGCTCAGGGGCCCAGCCGCTCCGTGGCATGTGGGATCTTCCCGGACCGGGGCACGAACCCGCGTCCCCTGCATCGGCAGGTGGACTCCCAACCACCGCGCCACCAGGGAAGCCCTGTTTTTGTTTTTAAAGAATGGCATTGAAAAAGCTGTTCTTCGGCCCTCAGGGTTGCTGCTGGGGAAGGAGCCCCACGAACACGCATCCACCCCCATGCTGCCCACCCCGCCTGCCACAGGGCTATCTCCTGCGGCCCTTGTCACCTCGGCCAGCAGCGCCCACGCGAAGACAGGCAGCAAGGACAGCAGCACACAGACGGACAAGAGCGCCGAGCTCTTCTGGCCCAGTGTGGCCTCCCTGCCCACGCGCGGCCGGCTGAGCGGAACCCCTTCCAACAGCCCGGTCCTGAAGCACCCAGCGGCCAAGAGCACGGCAGAGAAGCTGGGTATGAGGTCCCCGCCTCCTCTCACGCTCCGGGGATCCTCAGCGCTCCCTGGCCTGAGAGGGGGAGGCTTTTGTTGAGCTGGGGAGGGAGCAGGGCTCCCAATCAACTCTGACTTTACGGGTTATCTTATGATTATGGTTACCCTAATGCACTTAGGCTCTGCATGCCCTTTATTATTCTGGAATTAAAATGTGTGTAGAGACTCCTAACTTATTACCATTTAAAGGAGTCCACAAGTTGCATCTGTCCTTTTAGTGTATGCTTTGTAACTAGCCCTTCCCCAGAAGGTGTGCAAACAGACCCTCCAGGGGATGTTAGGGAATTAGTTTCCCCCCACTTCCGCCCCCAGTATATTTGAGAGCTGATACCAGGCACCACCAGGTCCATCGAGAGCATCAGGTACAAAGACATTGCCTTCAGGGTGTTTACTCGTCAAGGATTCGGGGTCGAGAGCACCTCCTGATTGAAGGAGAAGGTAGATTTAAAGTAGGCGAACTGGCCCAGTACTCAGGCCAGTTCTAAGGAGTTGCCGTCAAATATTTAAGAGAAGACAGCTTAGGAGGAGCTTGGCGATGAGTCCAGAAGTATCCATGGAAAGAATAGACTTGGCTTTGGACTGTTCGTAGTCATGGGGTGAGGAGGAGGTGGGAGCTACTGGGCATAAATGAATTGTTTCCTCCAAAGGGGTTCCCTGTGTTCATCCTCCAAAATAGACAAGTAAACACAATGTTATTTTCGGAGATTTAATTCTTGGGATGCTCTTCTGCAAGGAAGGCGGGGAACATGTGACAAGGACCTGGCTCGTGGCGTGCACTTGATAGTTTAGAGGAGACCGGGGGCGAGGGCTCCGCACCAAGTCCCGATGCCACTTTCACCCACTCAGACCTCTCCCATCACCTCCTAGTTCTGTTCTTTGTGTCCGAATCCCAGGGCCAGTCACTTAGCCTTGGTCCACCATGGGCTGCGCGCTACGGCCTTACCTGCGTGCACCGATGGTGAGGGGTGGTACTTAAATGGTTCCGTCTTAGAGAGGGCTGGGAAGGCTGTGCTCCTCCTGGGGAACAGGCTGCTAATGTGTCCCTTCTGTTTGGCAGAGAATTCTCCTGGCCATGGGAAGTCACCTGACCACAAAGGTCGCGTCAGCAGCTTGCTTCACAAGCCCGAGTTCCCTGACGGGGAGATGATGGAAGTTCTCATCTAACACCGGCATCCCTGTTGAATTTTGCAACAGAACATTGACGAGCAAGGAACGTGGCAAAGAGAAAGAAAGATCAAGAAGGTTGTGGATGGGAAATCAGGAATGATTTGAACTGGTCAGGATTTCAGGTTAATGAGAACACTTTTTATAAATGTTAAAAACAAAACAAAAACAGGAGGCCTACATGACTGAAAATGAAGGGGATGTTGTGGATTTTTACTGCATATGGTGGAAGAGAGAAGATGCATGTAGGTTTGGAAACAAAGAAGAAATAGGAAATAGAGTTTTTCCGTTGTACAGAAAATGTATCTCTTGGGGAGGGTCTGTGTACACCCATTCTCTGGTTATAAACAGATAAACCTGAGCATGGATCTTCCTTGAAATACGCCCATTCTCCTTGCCTCTTAGCTTGTTTTGTTTGAGAAGAACCTCCTAGGCATCTCGGAGAGTCCGTCTTGATATAACGTAATAATATCACCTGTGCCCTCCATGGGGTGTCCTGTGAATGCATGTGAGTGTGGCAGGGAGGAGAAATGTCCAGGGTGATGGGGAATTTAAAAGGCCATCTTCACCTCATTACCTGCTTGGTTTGGACTTCTTAGCTTTTCTGGATTGAGCAGTATTTTCTAAACAGGATGGGAGCTTTCTGGTCCTGGTGTGCATCCTCCCTCACTTCTCTGAGTTCATCTCTGTCTCTGCTTCATACTCTTTAATTTTACCCTTTTTTCCTTCCTTTTTTTTTTTTTTTCCTTTTGCAACAAAGCCATGACAGAATTCCTTTGTTCTGGGGTTTATCAGAGCAGTAACTGAACGTTCATCATTCATCGTGACCAGTGGGACAAAGCCGTATGGCGGGTCCCTGGCTGCTTCCTCCACCTTTGAGGAGTTGGGCTGCAGTGGTTGATCTCATTCTGACCATGAACTAGGTAAGCTCCGACTAGGCGGAAGATCCATGAGCCCTGTGACGTCCTGCATTAAGCTCATGGCCCCGACTTTTTTCTCTCTCACATCAGCTCTTGCGTGGAGTTTGGTATTTCCACCTCATTGCTCTGTTGAGGTAGGACTTTCAGGACTGCACTCCGGGAAGCGAGTGACACTTGACTTGGTGGCATCCAGAATCTCCCCAGCCACCTTGTCCCGCTTTCTACTGTTTGCGGCCACCGCTCTGCCCGCCCCTCATATCCCTCTGGGCCTTGTTGGTGAGCACGCAGACTCTGTGACTGTCAGCACGTGTGTGTCAGCACATCAGTTCTGCCCTGCCAGGAACTTGCTTTGTAACCTAACAGGCCAGTATCTATACAGTGTAGTCAGGTTTTTTTAGGATTTCAGTTGGGAGCAACTTATCCAAAGTAAGACGGAAACACCAGGTCAAAGAGCCAGGAGTGAGTGAGGTCGTGGGCCTCATCCCTGTGCTGTAAGGTTTCCCATCTGACTCCTCAGATATCGGCTTTCTTTACAAATCTAGAAGGTGCTGGATCAGAAGAGAGAAGCTAGTCAGGCCGTCAGATGCTCATGCAGGGCTCTGATAGTTTTCTCCCTGCAGGGTAGCTGGATCTGTGTTTTCCCAGGTCCCTTTCCTCATGCTTATTTAAGGAAAGGAAAAAAAAAAAAAGCCCCAGGTCTGAGGCTTTTTCAAGTCCCACCCAAATGAAGCCCTGAAGACAGACAGCATCACTTAGGAGATTTTGCTTGGGTGGCTCATTTTAGAGTTGGTCTTTGGAGTGTAACCTGGGTGAAGCCTCCCCAAATTGAGGTGGTGGAAGGATGACAGAGGTGTGAGCTGGAGAGGGAGGGGTGGGGAAGGAAACCAGTGGCTTTGCCCAGGGGGCCTCTGAGCTGCCTAGTGGTCAGGAGAGTAAACAGAACGGATGCTGCTCAAGCCCTGCTCTGTGGTAGGCGCTGTGCATCACGCCTGTTGCTTTCTGCAGTCCTACGTTAAGCATCACTGAGGATTGTGCAGCCTGGGAAACCAGAGCAGCCCTGGGTGTGAGGAGGGAGCGGTGAGGCCCCGTGGCTGGTGTGGGGGCCAGGTGAGTATGGACACGTCGGGGCAGGGATGGGGCAGAGGGATCCCCATCTCAGTCCCAGTTCCCTGTCACTTTTTATAGGTGATGAGGCTCAGTTGATGGCAACTAACTCTCTTAAGGATACTTTGACCCCTGATTAACGTGGGGGATGGAAAGAAAACGTCTAGAAATAAGAGGGCACGTCACCTCTGCCAGCCCCCATCATCCGTGTCTGGGCTACCCCAAACATGGGCTGTGTCCCCTAGAAACGGGTGAGAGTGACAGCCGCAGCCCAGTTTCCCACAAAGCCTCATCTTTATGCCCCCAGCAGATCTTGTTGGCAGCTCAGGCACAAGGCTCATTTGCTTTCCTTGGTCCCCCAAGTTGCCAGGCGTGTTAATTGGCAGAATGCAAACACAGACGTCACCATTTTTCAGTTGTGCTGTAGTCTCTTAATCCTTTTTTCTTCTAACCTGCTAAGACTCCTCCATAAGAAGAGGTACCTATAGTTTTGAAATGTCTTCTTTTGTGGGCCCTGACACTTTTCATCTTTCATAGATGAAAGCCTTGCTTGCATTTAGGAGAAATGCAGCTACTGAACTCCCACTGTGTGTTCTGGCAGTTGACAATATAAGATCTCACTGGATTTTCAGAAAATAATCCTAGCTCCGTTTTTTTAGTGCCAACTGTATGCAAGCACTGGGGTAAGTCCCTTTTAATGAGTCCTCAGACCACATGGGAGCAGGGGCAAGTTTATCATCCTTATTTCACAGAGGAGGAAACTGGGGCTCAGGAGGTCAAGTCCCTTCCCCGGGAGAGGCTGGGATCTGAACCAAGGCTTTGGGAGAGGAGCTGTGCCTTTGACACAGGCTGGACTGCCTCTGGCTTGGGGATTATAAGTGCCACAACTTGACCCGCTCTGCCCCCTCTATGTGATGTGTGCACTCGTAGACACACACACACACACACACACACACACACACACACACACACACACACACACA